TAGAGGAGTTTTCCCTGATACTGTAGATCAAGTCAAGCTCCCAACATTCCTCCGTTAGTGCCGTGTTCTCTTCCTTCTGTGCATTTCTCAGTTTTAATTGCCATTTTTGTGGATGATTATTGCATTAATTTTCTCCTCCCTCCAGACCATAATCTCCATAGGACAGTATCTCTTTCTCATTTGTTCATCCTGTGTCCCGAGTGCCCAGCACACTTCCTGTCACACAACAGAAGTCAAGACACATTTGTAAAGTAAATAAATGCATGCACTTTGCTTTCCAGACCCTTCTAGAATGTCTTTCACCTGATTCAGGTGTGGTCTGTACCAAAGGCTTACTGGTGATTATTCCCTGCTCTTACAATTCTTACACTGACATCCAAGCTTATTAAGCCTTTATTTCCTTGACATGTTTTGATGATTTTCTCTCTCAGGAGAGCCTGCAGGAACCTCTGGGGATGGGGCTCGGTGGAGGCAAATATAATGGAAAAAAGCTTGTCCAGGAGATTCTCATCCACCACCTGCTTTTTGAGACAGTGCGGGAAGAACTTCCTCTAAATCGCAGGGTAGTTAGCTGGGCTATGGGAAGGCATTTTCACAAAGTGCTCTTCCCAGGAGGCCTCCTCTTTACCTTTCCATTCCTCCCTCCCTTCCCACCTCCCTCAGGGGTTTATAGATAGCATATTTATAGAGCAGATAGCTGCCTTTTTTGCATATTGATTCATTTGAAAGAGTAGATCTATAGAACTAGAAAAATGGCCACACCGCTGTTAGCTTTCTGTAAAACAGCATAACACTTTTCTGGTGTATGTTGATTTCCTACCCCTTGAGCTAAATGTGAGGCTGGCTGGTAATTGCCTGGTCTCCAGGCAGTCCATTTCCCTGCAGGTGGACTTGCAGGTCCTGAGGAACCCTGAGGTATAATCTTTACACAGCTGCCTTGGCAACTGAGTTCACCAATGTTTGCTGTATGTCCAAGGACAAGCAGGTATCTCTGACAGCGTGTGTTTCTTACAAATTTCCCTCTCAAATTGGCACATTCTCTGTGAGCTTTCAAGACTTTCACAGTATGTCACAGTTTGGGAACAATTTCCATCATCATCTGACTGGCAAGTACTAGTTCTGTGGTAACTTGTGTCTTTAAAATAGCTTAATAAACAAGAGGGCACAGAGGTCCTTTCTGCTCCTGACGTAATCACTTAAATACACGTTCCCATAATGTTCCAGTAAGAGGATCATCTTTAAACACATCCGAAAGAACACTATGTTGCCATTTCTTTAACTTTCTGTATGCACTTAAATTATCCGTCTATGCAGATAGGTTGTTTACAGTTTTCTGTCCTAGATTAATTTGCCTATGCAAATCTATGTTTCTCCCAGACTTCCATAGTGTTGAATTATTATTTTTTATCCTTAAAATGTTCTACTAAAATCATCCATGTTCTGTCGAGGCTGGTGGCAACTTTGTCACCAGTTTCCCTGCTTGTAGGATGACTAACTGTCCCAGTTTGCCCAGGACTACAAGGAGTACCCAGAATATAGGATTTTTAGTTCTAAAACCAGAAAAGTCTAAGACAAATCAAGACAATGTGGTCACCTTACTTCCATTTCTATCCTTGATAACAGAGCAGGGAGACCCAATCAAGGGTGACTTTTATTCTCTGTGTAGATACCAGGTTAGTGGTTGGTAGAAATTCCCCCAAACCAACGTCTTGCTAAGCTTCTCTTTCTCTCTTTTTTAATGTAACAGCTTTTTGAGATGTAACTCACATGCCACACAATCAATACGCACATTTGAAGTGTGCAGTTCTATAGTTTTAGTACATCGCAGAGTTGAGCAACCCTTACCACAATTTTAGAACATTTTTATAACTCCCCCCAAAACTCCTGTACCCATTAGCGGTCACTCTCATCTCCCTCAAGTTCCTCAGCCCCTGGCAACCACTGGTCTGCTTTCAGTTGCTATAGCTTTGCTCTTTCTGGACATTTCATGTAAATGAAATCATACCATATGTGGCCTTTTGAGTCCAGCTTCATTCATTTAACATGATGTCTTCCAGGTTCATTTATGTTGTAGCATGTATCAGAACTTCATTTTTTGGTTATTGCCAAATAATATTCCAATGTATGTCTATACCACATTTTATTTACCTGTTCACAAGCTGATCGACATTTGAATTGTTTCCACCCTTTGGCTATTTATGAACATCGATTTACAAGTTTTTGTGAGGACATATGTTTTCATTTCTCTTGGGCATATACCTGGGAGTAGAATTCCTGGGCCTTGTGGTAACTCTATGTTCAACCTTTTGAAGAAACGCCAGACTGTTTTCCAAAGTTGCTGGACTATTTTACATTCTCACCCATAGTGTACATGGGTTCCAGTGTCTGTGCATTCTTGCCAGCACCTGCCACTCTCTCTCTTTTGTTATAGCCATCCTAGTGGATGTAAAGTGGTATCTCATGGTTTTGATTTGCATTTCCCTGATGGCCGACAATGTTGAGCATCTTCTCATATGCTTATTGCTAAGCTTCTTAAATGGAAAATTATAGCAAGCATGAAGGGTGCTTGCAAATAACTGATTATATGCACTAGGCTTGAGTTTTTAACTGAATTTTTAAATTGGATGCCCACAACTGATTTCCACTATCTCAGATTATTCTACCTGGAGGTAAATCTGCAAGTTTTATTTAAGACATTGACTTTTCCTCATGACCAGAAATGGTCCCAGTGTAAGTCTCTCTCTCACCTGCTCTGATGTTGGGCCATCCTCTGCATCCTTCAAGCCTTGTGGCCCAAGTGGCCGTCTTCTCCTGGAGTCAGTATCAGATGAGGGACAATGTGTTCCCTGAGTGCAAGACCGGGTCTGCTCCCAGTGCTTTGCTGATTAGCTTCTTTATCAAGTTGGGTACCCAGTGATCACTCCTGCTATCTGGACACCTGACATGCTCAATGTTTCTTCCCTTTCTCTCGCCTCTCTGATGTTCTGCTATTTCTTTCTCCTTTGTCTGTCCCCTCGCTCCAGTTTCTCTTGGGTACTCTATGTGTTTATTTAATTTTGTTTATTTAGATCACTCCTGCTATCTGGACACCTGACATGCTCAATGTTTCTTCCCTTTCTCTCGCCTCTCCGATGTTCTGCTATTTCTTTCTCCTTTGTCTGTCCCCTCGCTCCAGTTTCTCTTGGGTACTCTATGTGTTTATTTAATTTTGTTTATTTAATTTTTTAGTTTGTTCCTTCATTTCTCCCCTAACGTATTCAGAAAGGATCCAAGGAACTCTATTCTATCTCCTGCCCTTGTCTTCTCTTCTGTCATTAATTGACTTTCTCACAACAAATGCCATTGATTTGGCAGGAAAGGCCAGAACTCCTGGCAAAGCTACCAAGAAAATGATCTTTGGCAGAAAACGTACTCTCTATGTTCAACACTGTTTTGGAGCCTGAGAATGGGAACCAGCAGTTTTCTTCTCTCCAGAGGACCCCGGCTGTGGCTGTGGGATAGTGATCGACAGTTTGTAAAACTCTCTGTGGATGGTTCCACCCACTCACTGATCGGCAACTACTACAAAGATACTGTTTCAGCATATTAATCTCATTATTATTTGCTATATATGGGTCAAATAGCTTCTGTCTTGCAGTTTGGCAGAGGGGACAAGGATAATAATGATAAATAATAATAAATGAGCCAGGCACTATACTAAGCAATGGAGAAAGAATAATTTTATGGAGGGAAGTCTATGGTAGAAGGCAGCTAAGTATTGTTATAATTTCTATGTTATTATAAAGACATTCAACCCAACTCACGGTAGTGTGGTCACATTCAGGAACCAAAATTATCCCTCATTTCTTCTTTCTCTGCTTTCCCATTAGAGAAGGTCCTAAATATGCACCTTTGGGACAACACTGCCATTTTCAGCCCTGACCAAAGAGATCTAGGGTCTTCACGACTGCAGTAGCAAGTGCTGTCTGTTGGCTTGTGTTTTTCAGAGTCAAGGGGCCAGAGAAGGAGGAGAAGTTGAGGTGGGCGGTCAAGCAGGTGCTGAAGTGTGATGTCACCCAGAGCCGGCCGCTGGGGGCCGTCCCACTGCTCTCGGCCGACTGCCTGCTGAGCACGCTGTGCCTGAACGCCGCCTGCCCAGACCTCTCTGCCTTCCGCATGGCCCTCCAGAACCTCAGCAGCCTGCTGAAGCCAGGGGGCTTCCTGGTGATCGTGGATGCGCTGAAGAGCAGCTACTACATGATCGGCGAGCAGAGGTTCTCCAGCCTCTCTCTGGGCCCGGAGGCAGTAGAGGCTGCAGTGACAGAGGCTGGCTACACAATTGAACGGTTTGAGGTGATTCCTCAAGCTTATTCGTCCACCATAGCCGACAATGAAGGACTTTTCTCGCTGGTGGGGCGGAAGCTGAGCAGATCTTGATTAATCTCAATTAAAGCAGGTTCTTTGACGTTCTAACTGCCATGGTCATTGTGCTGAGGAGAGGCTAAGTGACTGGAGCCCGATGGCACATCTAGGACAGGGTTGGCGCAGCCAGTCCATCTAAGAACAATTCATTGTCCACCTACTCTGGCCTCTACCTGTGTGTGGCGATGCTTTGGGACCCAAAGATGAGTAACTGGTATATCCAGTCTTCACTGCCTGTGTTTACAAAAGATCTCATTTTCCCTGAACATCCAGGTCCGGTGGCTCAAGCCCATATCTGCCTATGGAGGAGGAGTATGTGTGCAGTTATTCACTATTACTTTCCTAGGGGACCAGCTGCCTCCTCCTGTCTTGGGAACAGGCTTCTCCTGTTTTGTAACTCTTGCCTTTTCCCTGGAGAGGGTCCCACACCCCAGCCTCTGCTGCTGATCAGGCTGCCCTGGGCACAGCCCTTCACTGCTGGACTCTCCTGGTGTCACGACTACTCTGGCCTCAGGGTCAGAGAATAGCTATCCAGCATTTCTGTTCATCCCAGCATTCCAATTTTCTTTTTTTAAGCTACAAAGAGCATAGCTCTTCTTGGGCAAGTTACATAACCTTGCTTGGGTTTCTTCTTGGGCAACTTACATAACCGTGCTGTGCCTCAGTTTCCTCATCTGTCAAATGAGATTAAGATAGAACTTTTTAAGAGAATTAAAATGAATTGCTACACATAAAGGATATAGAATGATAAGCATTCAATAAATGCTAGCTATAATCATTATAGTAATTATCATCTTTGATATTGGTTGCCAAAGCACCTGAGAAAAGATGTCTTGATCTTTAAGGAGAAGAGAGGATTCCCGTTGGGGGCTGCAGGCATCCAGGCTCTTTACTGGCATTGCCTTTCAGAAGGGTTGCAATAAAACTCAGCTTGGACACCACATGCCACCAGTTCCTTTCCGATTTAAGAAATATTCAGCAAATATTTATTTAATACCCTTGATGTATTTTTCCTGCAGCAGGCACAGAGAATGCCAATGAAACCCCTGTGTCAGCTGGCTCAAGAGCCCTCATCTTTGCACAGTAAGAGCCCAATTGCTTCCAGGTGCTCCCAAAAGCAGTAGTGCACCTGAGGCAGCAGTCCCACCTAGAATGCACCTGCTCAGCCCCTCCGGCTCAGGCTGTGCTTCTGCTAGTCCACATGCTCCACCTGAGAACGCTGGGGAGGGACAGCTGGACTGTTTTGAGAAATATACTGCCCATGCCCAGGGTTCTGCCTTGGATGCCTCATAGCCATGCTGGTTTCCTCCCAGAGAGGTAGGGAACTTGTTCCATTTATACTAGAGGCTGGCAAACTTTTTCTGCCAAGGGCCACACAGTAAATACTTTAGGCTTTGTGGGCCATACAGTCTTCATTGCAACTTCTCAACTCTATAGTTGTAGCAGAAGCAGCCACAGACAATATACTGCAAACAAAAATATGTGTTTGCATTCCAATAAAACTTTATTTACAAAATCAAGTGGACAGGTGGATTTGGCCCAACAGTTGTAGTTTGTAGACCCCTGATCTAGATCCTGAAGCAACCTTGTTTGTGCCCAAGATTTTATAGATGGTCCCCGACTTACATTCCACTTAAGAATTTTCGACTTAAAATGGTGCAAAAACTATTTGCATTCAGTAGAAACTACTTCAACTTTTGAATTTTGATCTTTTATTTCTATTATTTCTATTTTTATTATTATACAATTTTAATAATTATTATTATAAAATAGGTTTTGTGTGAGGTGACTTTGCCCAGCTAATATAGGCTAATGTAAGAGTTCTGAGCATGTTTAAGGTGGGCTAGACTAAGCTATTATGTTCAGTAGATTAGGTATATTAAATGCATTTTAAATTCATGGTATTTTCAACTTACGATGGGTGTATTGGGGACACAATTTCATGGTAAGGTGAGGAACATCTGTGTAAAGTTTGTCATGAACAGTCTGGTTGGTTTTTTTTTTTTTTAAATCACAGCTTTATTAAGATATAATTCACATACCATACAATTCACCCTTTTAAGTTCAGTAGTCTTTAGTATATTCACAAAGTTGTGCAACCATCATCACTGTCTAATTCCAGAGCATTTTTATCACCCCCCACCCCAAAAGAAACCACATACCTGTAGCAACTAATACCTATTCTGGAAATTTCATATAAATGGGCACATACCATATATGGTTTTTTGTATCTGGCTTCTTTCACTCAGCATAATATTTTCAAGGTCCATCCATGTTGCCGCGTGAGTCAGTATTTAATTCTTTTGCTAAAGTCTGGTTGGTTTCTAACACTCGGTGCTACTTACAGGAGCTCGACCTGGCCCAAGGGACTGAACAGGGAATAGGCAGGTATTACATCCTCTGTGATCCACCCATCCTCTATTACTCTCTTTCCTGCTGTATCCCCCAATCCCAAACTCCTTCTTCCTCCCCCAGTTCTAAGGCCCTCAATAGATACAAACAGAAAATCAGAAAACAAGGGGAGAGGGACGGCAGATGAAGTGTCAACTACACCAATACTTTTCAAACTGCAAGTTGCCATTCATTAGTGTGTCATAAAATCAATTTGGTGCACCCCAATACACATTTTAAAAAATAATAGAGAAAAAATTAGAAAGCAAAGCCCCAGAGAGTAGCACTTCAGGTAATATTATTTTGTGAAGTTTTGTTTCAATTTTACAAACATTATCTATCAATTTATCTATCCATCCATCTGCACACACACACACACACACACACACATATTTGTTACTGGATCATGATATGACATATATTTATTACATATCAGTTGTGATTTTTAAAAAGTCCAAAAGCCACTGGGCTGTACTCTGGGCTACGGAACTCCTCTCTAATAGCCGACATTTTTCTTTCACACAGAGATGAAAGGCAGCCCCCATTCTTAAAGGACTAAGAGCCATTGGAGAAAACTGACATGCAAACAGTTAAAACACAGCCAGATAAGGGCTCTGAGATTAGCAAGCACAGGATGCTGTGGGGCGAGGGGCAGGCATAGTGCTGGGGGGCAGGGGTGGCATTTACTCTGAGTCTTGCAGGCTGAATCGGGGTGTGTTTGGCTACCGGGAAGAAAAGGGCAATCTGGGAACACCGTGTACAAAGGCGTGAAGTGACTCCTCCTCCTGATATCTGACACCCCACAGGTTTGTTCTCCGAGAGGAGCTGGGACCTAAGCAAACATTTGGCTTCTGGTTTTTCATTTGCTTTCCCTGAAATCAAACAGACCAACCAAATCATGAGCAAACATGGACTAGGGGTCACTCTGGTTCTAACTCGTAAATCTCTTTGACCGCTGATCCAGCTCAGGTTTTTTTTAGGTCTACTTTCTGGGGAAGTGTTGTTCAGTCTCACCCTAAGCAAACTTTTATGGTGCAGGGAGCCATAAGTCCGTGTGTAATATCCTGGGGGATGGCTGGGGAAAGAAAGCTATGAAAAAGGTTGTTAACCCATTTGATGTCATACAGCCCAGCCTTCGTAATTCTCACCGTCTGGCTGACAAGAGTAATAAAAGCAATGTCCATGATACGACTTACTAGGCTGAGCTCTGAAAGCTGTAACTTCCCCCTCTAAATTTAGCTTCAGCCAATGTGGAGAGTGCAAGCGACCAGTGAATCTTATGGAGATTAAGAAGAGGTGGAAAAACCTCAGGACCCGAGGGACAGAAAACACTTGAGTCGTAGCTTAATCGCTCAATTGCCATGAGAACATCATTCTACCTTTCTCAGGTTCAGGACCCCTCTGGAAAACAGAGATAATTATCATCTCCCAGGACTGTATTGAGATCAAATGAGATACCTCTGAAGGCATTTTGTAACCTAAGTGATAGATACAGGTCGAGTATGGGAAATGCTTACGACCAGATGTGTTTCAGATTTCTGGTTTTTCAGATTTTGAAATATTTGCAGAATACGTACTGGTTGAGCATCTCTAACCCCAAATTCCCAAATCTGAAATGTAACAATGAGCATTTCCTTTGAGCATCATGTTGGTGCTCAGATAGTTTCAGATTTTGGAGCATTTTGGATTTTGGATTAGGAATGCTCCACCTGCATTAAGTAATTTTGGTGTTACTAACCCCTTCTAGGACAGCTGTGAAACCACATGTTGCTACATTCATTAAGATTCCCTTAATGAACTGTGTAAGCACAGCCTTCAAAACCTGTCCTGCATGCACTTTATACCTGTCAGCACTGTGGGCTCCTAGAATCCAGAGTGTCCAATATATATCAAAAGATATTTATTGCATCCCTATTATGCTCTAGACATTTGACTTGGTGGCTGAGGATCCTACGCTGAGGACGACACAGGCTCTGGCCTGATGGAACTTACATCCTTTTGAGGGAGATCCTAAAGAATGCATTCTTACAGGCCCTTAAGTACTAGATTTTTGGGTTCTCAAGTCAGCCATTCAGGACCTTTTGTCCTTCTGACACAGGCCCAGAACGAAACAAACCACACCTTTCTTATAGCTTTAACTTCCCAAGTATAGGTCAGCTTCTCTCAAAAAATTTTTGTGCGCGATGGATGAAGTGCTTTCTTTTTGATGGAAGATTATTGCAAAGAAAACCACCACTGAGTGGAATCGCTTTCCTTGGCCCTCTGTTGCCAGCAGAGGGCGCAGGTGACTGTTGTTAAAGCCCTTTCCTGAATTTGCCCATTTATACATGAAGGAATTAAACTTGTTAAACCTTCCCAAACTAGAAGCCTCTCCACAGTATTTTCTTTTGTACACTGTACTTATGAGGCTTCTAGGGAAGAGGGAAGGGGAATTCCGCATATTTTTCCTTAAAAAGAAAATATGTATAATTATTTTTATAGGTACATTAAAATTTTTTCCTTCTAGGTCTATACACAGAATGCAAAATTTAATAAACCATACAGATTCTTTTGGTCAGATTAGCATGAGAAATGTTAAATATTAGATTATGCAGTTAACTCATCACCAACCACCTATTTCCTGTTATTCAAAGAAGGGAAAGAAGTTTTCATGCTTTTTC